TAAGAAAAAAATATTATCATTATTGTAATAACAATATCAAAAATGTTAAACATAATGGTAACAATGATGATACCAATAACAACAACAATAACAATAATGATAGTAACATTCTTTTTTTTTTAATAATAATTATAATAATAAAAATAATAAAAATGATAGTAACAATTATAATAACAATAATCATAAACATAACGATGATAATGATAATGAAAATGATAGTAATAATGGTGATAATAATAATGGTAATAGTAGTATAAATAATTATGATATTGAAAATGACAGGAATAAGAACAAGAAAAATGTAAATGCAAATAATTATAATGATAACGATAGTGGAAGTAGTAATAATATTTATAGTGATAAAGATTATAATGACTATAATACTAAAGACAATAATATACTAATGGCAATAATAATAATAATGATGATGATAATGATAGCAATAATAATAATGATAATAGTAATAACAGTAATATTCATAATGATAACAATGATAATATCATTATCATTATTATTGCTATCATTATCATTACATCATTATTATTGTCATATTTATTATCATTACTTTTAGTTGTCACTGTTATTATTACTATCATGTTATCATTATCATTATTACTATTATGTTAATACCATTATCATTATTACTAGTATCATAAAGGTAATAATAATGATTTACATCATCATTATTGTTCTCACTAATATCATAACTATAAATATGATTTTCATTATCATTTTTATCATGATGTTGTTGTTGTTATTATTTCCATTGTCATTGTTATCATTATCATTATTATAAGTGTTATTATAAGAGATCTTAACATTATTATTATTATTATCCTTCTTATTATCATTATCATCAATATTATTATGACTGTCAATCTTATGATCATTATCATCTTTATGATTATCATTCCTGTCATTATTATTAGCATTATTATCATAAGATTTTTTTATTTTTTATTATTTTTTATTACAACAATCATTATATGTGGTTGCTATCATTATCACTATCATTATCATCATTGTCACTCTCAGTATTAATTATCATTATAATTATCCTCATCATCATCATCTTCTCTATTATAATTGTGATTATCATTGCCATCATCACCATTATCAATATTATTATTATTATTAATACCATCAATAGTTATATTTCATTATTGCTTTTTCATTATTATTTTTTGAATATTGCGTCTACATTCTGTTATAATTATTATCATCGTTATTATTATTATCGTTTCTATTGTTATTATACTTAATTCTTAATTATTTATCAATAGCATCAATTATATTATCATTATTATTATTAATTATCATCATTATCATCATCAATATTGTTGTTTTTATTATTTCTGTCTCTATCATTATCTTATTTAACATTACATTTATTATTATTATGATAATCATCATTATCATTTTCATTATTATTATTATTACAATTGTGATCATTATCACTATAACTGTCATTATGATAATTATTATTATTATTGCTATTATTATTATTATTATTATTATTATTATCATCATCATTATTATCTTTTTATTATCATTATCATCATCATCATTATCTTTATTATGATATTATCATTACTTTTATTATCATTATTGTTATTCTTTTTTTTTCTTTTTTTTCCCTTTTTTTACCATCATTACTACTAGTATTATTTTTATTATTATTATTATGATAATTATTATTATCAATATTGTTATCACTGTTATTATGATTATTATTATCATCATTATTATCAATGATTATTATCTTTACTTTCGTTAAAATTATTACTTGCATTATCATTATCATTTTTTGTATTATACTAATCACTACAATAGTTGTTATTGTTATTGCTATTACTATTATCATTAACATTATCATTATTATTATCAATATTATCATAAATATCATTATTATCAATATCATTACTATTATCATTATTATTATTATCATCATTATTATCATTATTAATATCATTATTATCATTACCCCTTTTATTATCGTTATTACTAATATTATTATTACTATGATTATTATCATTATTATTAGTTTTATTATCATTATCAATATTACTATCATAGCATTATTACTATCATTATTACTTTTTTTCATTAACTCTATTGCTTTTATCATTATCATATACATTAGTATTAGTATTTATCATTATTGTTATTATAGGTTTTATTACTATCATTGTTATTATTATTATTATTATCAATATTTCATTAGTATCATGTTATATCTATCATTACTTTCATTTTCATCATCAATATGCTCATTAACACTGTTTTAATAGTATTTTTATTATAGTTATGATAGTACCATTATTTTCATTATGATTACTCTTATTATTACTTTAAGAGTTATTCTGATCAATATCATTATCATTATTATCATTATTGTTAATCTAATAACTATCATTATTATCACCATTGTTAATATGATAATTATCATTATTATTATCATTATCATTATCATAATCATTATCATAATCATTAAGTTGCA